GCAAATTAGGAACACCAGTGACTTATTCCATGCGGTCGTCCAACGCATGATTTCCGCAGTTTATTGACCTTAACACGCGCCCAGGTGGGGGTCAAATTGACTCACCCCCCGAAGGTTTTTCCAGGATGGTTTTTGAAAGGCGCGGCGCAGCTGCACCATGTTCTGTATAGCTTTAGAAAATTGAATAGCGGATCGTTGGCATCAAAAATTTAGACGTACTTTGTAAGGTCGCTGGCAAAGGCAGGTCAAAGTCAGCCCATGGTTTCAGCGAAGTCAACTTTTAGGCAATCGTTCAATCTGATGCAACAATGAGGTGTTAGACGAAGTCGTACATCTCTGAGATGCTTTCTTAGGCAGCACAAATATCGACTGAGTGGGCTACGTTGAAATAAGGTCATGTATAAGGGTCAGACCAAGGTCAAAACCAGCCTGTTTGGTTACCCTAGGGTTTGCTGTATGGGATAGTTTCTGGTGCTCATGTCGAATTTATTGATTGCAGGAACCACATTATATATCTTCCATGGACTTCTTAGAGGTCAGAATAGCTAATAGACCTAAAATGACATCGGTCAACATTTTATCTTTGGAAACATATTGCCTAGCGTAATCTTTCTCGCTTATTCAAATACAAAACTCAGAGCAGTCTCGTATGATTCTGGTCACCACTACCTTCAAAAGGTCAAACAAGGTCACTGAGCTTAACTGAACATGTGACCTTTTGCTTAGAAACAGTTATTTAGGTTCTGGGGGCACTTTAGAGACCAACCTGGAATTTGACCTTGTTTGACCATATTTGACCCAAAAGTCATGGCCTAGGAACCTCGAACTTTGACCTAAGTGGTCCCACGTACAGGTCACCTCACCCTGTAAATTTGGCGTCTTTAGCTTTCTTAGTTTCCGAGATCTCAGGGGGGCCAAGTTGACCGCAACCCCCACCCCACCCGAGCGAAGGGTATCTAGCCGGTCACCCGGGCGCGTGTTAAACGTGCAAACAGAATTGATTTCACGGTACCTTCTGGGTTCTGCTCCGGTTAAAACGTAAAAATAACAATGAAACGAAGAAAGCCGTAACCCTTCTTAACAAGTAAACTATATCTGGGGATAATTTGTGTGGGGGATCACCATAAACGGGTCTTTTGTCAACCTTGTGTTCTTGAAAAGCAGCCAGCGAAATGAAGGCGCATGCAAAATCTGTTGTACTGTGAGCCATCGATTCACTTTCAAAGTTCTCACCAGCCTATGCTCAGGCTATATTTTGGTATCTATCCGGTGGAGACAGATGCCTCCTCAGTGACAGAAAAGGCCCACCCGCTCATGGAATTTCGGCTCCCCAGGAAAGACAACGGTTGAAATGGACGAATGATCTTGGGAAGCTGGATAGCCTTATTTCCCGAATGACGTAGATGAGTCGGATAGGCAAGAGTGTGCACCATTGAGAAACAGTTGTAGATGCATATCTAGGATAGCAATCATTACATTTAAATAAAGAGTTATAAACACTATCTCTACCCCCCCCCCCCATGGTCATCGGGTTTTTTACAGAAGATTTTCCTGAAGTATGCCCTGAGCTTGCTCCCCCCCCCTTGAAACGTTCCTACGCCTATGTCCATGACTACAAACCGACTATCTCCATGCAAAACCCCAGAGAAATGTAAAACACCATAGTGGACAACGTTTGATTTAAACAGTGATGTACTGCGCAAGAAGCTTAATCTACCGTCGACGCACGGTACGAGCCAAAGGATTAGGACGGCATATCAGCCGAACTGCCATCAAAGCGGAATGGTCACGCAATCGACGCGACCGTGAACATACGCAAACACCCTCCGAGGTTTTTATGGGTAGGCTGAGCCGCAATACTCAGCTCCATGCGGTACATCCTATGCGTTGTCGTACTCTCCGCGGCATCGACGATTTCGGCGGAATCAGTTCAGAAGAGGAAATCATACTGCTGTCCACCGAAAGCGGAACAAAGACTGCCAGCACTTAAAAACCTAATGGTGCAGTTACAGCGTAGAGGCCTCAGTATATCCCTCTCCTAGAATGTTTACCACGCGATTTCACACCAATTTCAATTTTTTCTTCAAAATTTCACAATTTCAATTTCACACGATTCGAAAGGGAAATGTTGAGGGTCAGGGAATGTTACTTTGGGTTTTCAACGGAAATAGCGAGATTGCGATGCATCAAGATAAATTCACAGCTCTAATCTGATTAAGAATTAAAACTCATCTTCTTTTTTAGCTTGATTGCAGATTGCTTACCGGACCATTTTATACGGAACTTCGTGGAGACATAAGTGTCACGTGATCACGAATGGCACGAGCAACCACCAATGGTTTGTTTGCCAACTATTTCTCCGGCAGGCGATTAGTTGGATACGGCACCAAACGTGGCATCACGAAACGGGCCGGATCTTCACTTTCGAAAAATTAGCACACTCCATCACTTCTTGGAAGACACTTCAACACTTCTAGAATGAACACGGGCGCCGCCTGATAGTCTTCAAAATGGAAAACGAAACGTTTCATGGTCCTTAAAGGGTATGTTCTACATTTCTAGGTAGTTTTAAACTCAAGTTGTCATCTAAAACATCATTTGGTACAGTACACAGCCATGTCCTTCTTAGATCTAAACCTCTCTAGTTTCTGAATTACACGCTCGGGAAGATGTGCAGACTATTTCGGGAAAACTATTTCACGGTTACCCAGGCATCCACGACGCCATATTAACGTCATTCAAATCCTGCTATTCCATTTGCCATGTGGCGATCGAGACCAGGAAAATATAATTGTCGAGTCGTTCATATCTGGTGTTCGTGAGCAAGATTTCCAGATATAAATGCCGTCAGTTGGCTCTCAATTAAGTTTGTGCACGGTACGATGACGCAATTGAAGAATGACGTATTTATGAGCATATCCACTAGATAGAAAAACTTCGTCATCTAGAACAATCTTTTTCACTTTTAGGTGTATCAATAGTTACAACTGAGCTTTTGTCATCACATCTGAGGCTTACTTTAATATTTTCAAATGCGGAATATTTCCTTCAGCGCCCAACTCTTAAACGTGTCAGCTGACCTTAGGACGTTGTCAAAGCTCTCTAGCCTATTTACGAGGCACACCCTTGATAATATTTGCTTCCTTCAAAACCAGTCTGCGTAAAAGCCACATTACAACAGAAATATCGCAACGTCCATCAAACAAGCCTTCAGGGTCTGCAGTACAGTATGCCCTCCATCACATGATAACATCACACATGATATTTTTATCCTGGAATACATGAACGATGTCTTCAGTCAGCTAGATCTAGGTAACCAGGACCCCTCACAGGGGCTCAATAAGCCGTCGAAGCAAACTTAAAACAGACACCATGCGCCAAAGTTAGGAGGTCGAGTTCGCCATTAGTTACCCTGTCCAGACGTTCCTGCATTATTGAAACCACTTGACTAATTACCCACTGATCCTCCCTCACCTTTGCAGCCTCCATGGCATGAAATATGTACCGTCCCGGTTTATTCAATACATCCATGACAAAGCTGCTGGTGAGACCAATTCACCAAAATCTCTCTGATTCTGAGACCCCGTGAGATTGAGAAAGGTAAACCAAAATTATCCTTACGAAAGTTTCACTCCTAGCCTAAAGCGATTCATATGGGATACGTGGACTAGATCGCCACTTAACCCTCGCCCTGATAGAAAGGGGGGCGTTGCGTAAGTTTTTTTTACAAAAAAACCAAAGGTTTTTAAGAATACCCCTCTGACACGTCGTGCAATCGCGTCAAAATTTCTGTTCTTGTATGGGGAATCTATTATGCGTGATTTTACACCAAGACCTTGTTTCTAGCTCTTCTGGTTTCGGAACAGCGGTGGTTTTTTAGAAACACTGCACGGTGATCTCCGGCCGGTGCGGGCAGCGGGCGACAGCTGACGAATCCGCGGAACACACATGGCAGACCGACATTGTTACATTAACGGAGTCATATATCATACATATGTGTTTAAAATGCATAAACATATACTCCATTGTACTTAGAACTGATCCAGTAATAAGCCTGTTTAGGTTCTGTGTAGCGACGTCGCGTAGTCTGGTATATGTGATGAAAAGGCGAAAAAGTACGATAATTATCACGCAGATTTTGCATTTGTCCTGGCATAATGGGATCAGTTATCAGCTTAACAACTTGAAACAAACTTCCAACGCGAGATGCAAGATCTCGCTGAGACCAATTTAATGATGTTTTTCGCTAAGCCCTACCTTCATTAATTTAGAAATACCATGGGGTTTCATCGAACTTCTTATTGGTTTGCGCCATGGAAAACGGCGAATAAGGGCGAGAGTCAAGGACAGCCAGATCTATTTGTGTTTTTGGTGACCTTTTTTGCGATAAAAGCACAAAAATAGTCCAATCGGCCGAAACGGTGCTCGGACCCGGACCCCAACGACTCTAAAAGGTACTTGGACCCGGACCTCACCGACTCTAACAGTGGTCACACACATGACAGCAGCTACCTCAACCGGACGATCTAACAGAGTGAGAAGCGTAGAGAACAGGGCAGAGAAGACAGGGGACAGCAGCACCTTCTCTCTCTCTCTCTCATCTCTCTCTCTCCGTACTCTCGCTCTCGCTCTCCTCTCTCGCTCCTCTCTCTATCTCTCTTCCCTCTCACCTCTATCTGGCTCTCTCCTCTCTCTCTCTCTCATCTCTCATCTTCTTCTCTCTCCTTCTCTTCCTCTCTCTCTCTCTCATCTCCTCTCTCTCCTCTCTCTCTCTCTCTTCTCTCTCTCCTCTTCTCTATCTCTATCTCTCTCTCTCTCTCTCTCTCTCTATCTCTCTCTCTCTCTATCTCTCTCTCTATCTCTCTCTCTCTCTCTCTCTCTCTCTCTCTCTCTCTCTCTCTCTCTCTCTCGACTGGTTTTGGTCTACGCCTAGCTCGAGATACGGTGTTCGAAGCTCCTCCGACAGTGCCGTGCCAGATGCGGCGTCGTCTGCGGCTCACCTGCCCTGGCGCATGCCGCAGACGATACCGAGCACATCCACCCCGCCCTCCTCCATCAACTGGCTGGTGCCGATCGAGATGGCGATGAAGCAGCCAGTCCGGCCGATGCCGGCGCTACAGTGCACCACCACCGGCCCCTGCCGACAGCCGGCGAGGTCAGACAGGTCACCAGGAGGTCCAACGGAGGTCAGACAGGCCACCGTAGAGGTCTCACGAAGGTCAGGCCGGTCTCTGGAGAGCTCTTGCGGAGGTCAGGCCGGCTGCTGGAGAGATCTCGCGGACGTCAGGCCGGTCGCTGGGCGAGTTGAGCCACAGCCCAAGCTGGCTTCTAGGATGTCAAGTCGAGTTTGAACAGAACACTCGGAAGTCAGGTTAGGAATAGACGGGTAGGGATCAACACCGTCCCTAAGAAAATCTCCAAAAATCGTACATAAAAAAAATGAAGAGCAGCAAATAAATCTCCTGGGAACATCTGATACATTGGACAATCACTGAACCCAAGAGATACATCAAAATCTAAAGTTGGGAGATGCGCCAACGCTTAAACGAGGCCTGCACGTGAAATAGTGTGGATCACGAGGTGGCAGTATGTCTCTGTCAGCCGACGCAATCGGACTACAGCGGAGCAGAGAACTCTAGTCCAGCATGTTTGGCCTGTTTCGCTGGCGATCTGTTCACTTAGGATCTCCGAGCTCCTGTTCACTCACGCTGGTGCCCGGAAGCCGTTCTCCACATTCGTGGTGGGGTCAAATCCTGCAACTTCTTCCAAAATCATAATAAAAGAATGAACCAAAACTTCTACTTTTGCTCGCGTTGAAACTTCCACACTTCTGTCCACCCTTCCCACCCCTATTCCTATCATTTTTGGAGGCACAGCTTTGACCCACCTGAAACTCGTAATGCGGGGCTCTGCTAACTTCCTATCCTCTCGCACGAAATTTCATGAACTCTCCCATTCCCATCCATAGTAGTAGTGGAAAGAGAGATTCCAACATCCATGGCTTAGCACAAGAGGGATTCCTTGTCCTGTCTCTTCACATTCCATGAGCCAACCTTCCGCCACCCCAGAGTGGGCGCCTCCGCCCCCCCCCCCCCCCCCCACCGCCGGCGCGTTTCCCTTCCCCTCCGCCACTCCGGAGTGGGCGCCTCCTCCTCCCCACCGGCGGCGCGTTTCCCTTCCTCTCCGCCACTCCGGAGCTGGGCGCTTCCGCCGCCCCACTCGCGGCGCGTTTCCCTTCCTCTCCGCCACTCACCGTGGGGTTGCCCTCCGAGTCGCGGCGCGCCGCCTCCACTTCCGCGGCCATCTGGAGCAGCTGCTCCGAGTCCTCTGGCGTCCGGTGGTCCGGCCAGGCCGTGAACCAGAAGTGCTGCAGCTGCAGCTGCTCCTTCCCACGCTGAAACGGCGCACGGCTAGTCAGGCGGAGGCCTATCAGCCTGTCAGGCGGAGGCCTATCATCCTGTCAGGCGCGGCGCCAATGCAGGCACGACCAGACGAGGCCGGAGCGTGGTCTGGGGGGACGGTGAAATACCCTGACAGATGCGGGCTGTTCGCTGGTGGATCGAGATAGGAACAGGGGTAGACGATAGGAGTCTCAAATGACAAACCGAAGAAGTGGCACTGGGAAACATCAGCGCAGCGCTTTTTAAGTTGACAGTTTTGATGCTGGTATGGGAATATATGTTATTACCAAAACAGCCGAGAGCATGGGCATCTCTTGAGAAGCTGTTACTGCCTTGCCAGTATCTGATTGCACCGTCCGTTCGCATCTTTCATTTATTTTCTATACGGTCACAAATTTTTCTGTACAACTGATGTCTTGCCACTGGTACAAGTTTAAGGTCATTCCTAAATTCGGAGAACCTGCTTCAGCCATGCCCCGTTTTGCGTTACAGTGGCCGCAGGAGTCTATCCCGACGCCTAGGAGGCTCCGTGTCTCTCAACGTCCCACCGCGACCAAACGGCGCAAAACTGTTGTCGTGCCCTCGCTCCGAACGTTCCACCAAAATACATCGGACGGGGGGTTTCACGCCGGATTTGGCCTCCGACCGGTGGATCGAGCCTGACAGACATAATGTAAGGTTGGCAGGTCACGACCGCGCACGGCGACAGACCGCATCGATCGTCCGACATCCAACTTTGACCAGGATCGGTCAGCCTCGCGGACGCCGCAGCGTTGGGAAGTTAGACGGGGGTACGGGCCTGCTCGTGGGCGGCTCGCCAGTAGTTTGCGCTCGGGGCGTCAGGGGGCGTCTGCTGTGACCTGCCAGCGTCTGGCTGCCCCGGATGATATTGGTAGCATGCTCTCGTGGGCTCCCGCCAGCTATCCATCCAGCCACACCAGTCCCCTAGCGACGTAGCACAGTGGAGCAGCAATGCCCCGACGGTGTAGCGGAGGGAGATGTACATCCCGGGGTCTCTCCATGCAATATTCCTGAGCTCACAGCTGTCAGCTCCAACTTCCTGCACGGCCGATACTCAGAAAACACTTATGAAATCCCCAGCAAGGTCCGGCTAGTGTCATCTGAGTGAGGGGCGTCCGCCTCGGCCAGCCGCAGCGTGCTTCACCTTGACGCTGATGTGACGCAGTGTGTAGCCGCAGCGTGCTACACCTTGACGGTGATGTGACGCATTGTGTAGCCGCAGCGTGCTACACCTTGACGGTGATGTGACGCAGTGTGTAGCCGCAGCGTGCTTCACATTGACGGTGATGTGACGCAGTGTGTAGCCGCAGCGTGCTACACCTTGACGGTGATGTGACGCAGTGTGTAGCCGCAGCGTGCTTCACATTGACGGTGATGTGACGCAGTGTGTAGCCGCAGCGTGCTTCACCTTGACGGTGATGTGACGCAGTGTGTAGCCGCAGCGTGCTTCACATTGACGGTGATGTGACGCAGTGTGTAGCCGCAGCGTGCTTCACCTTGACGGTGATGTGACGCAGTGTATAGCCGCAGCGTGCTTCACCTTGACGGTGATGTGACGCAGCGTGTAGCCGCAGCGTGCTTCACCTTGACGCTGATGTGACGCAGTGTGTAGCCGTTCCGGGGCAGGATGCGCTTCACGGTGACCTCGATCTTGCCGAAGGTGGCCTTCTGGCGCGTCTCGGGCAGGTAGCCGGCACACTTGATCCTGCCATTCTCGCGCAGCTTGGTGATCATGACGACGGCCGGCGCGCGCCGCGACAGCACCATCTGCCAGAAGTCCTCCAGCGTGTGCGCCAGCGGCCCCTGTGTAGCGATGTAGGCGCGTTCCTCGTTGTCGTAGCCCTGGAGCGACGTAAGGTCAGGTCAGCAGCAGTCACAGGTCAGCAGTGGGGTCAGGTCAGCAGTGGTCACGAGTCGGCGGTGAGGTCAGGTCAGCAGCAGTCACCATCGGGGGTTCTGAGTGAGCAGGTCTGCAGTCTGGGAAGACTGCAGGTTGATGTGGGGGCAGCCGGGCGCTGTATGGGTTCGGTCGATGTGAGATATCCCTTTGCTGGACCTCTCCGGCTTCAGACTCGTGTCGCTGATTACTGTGTATGTGTATTGGCGGATCTAGGGGAGGGCGGGGGAGGAGGTGTGAGAAGAGAGAGGATTCCCAAGACGGTGGACGGCAAAAACTGCTAGTACCACGGGTGTGCTTTCCTTGTTAATAAGGCTCACAAGCTGAATTAACAATGTGAAGTTTTTTTTGGAAATAAGCTATAAGATATTTGCAGTGGCACGGAGACTAAGCGGTTTGTTCTTGAGCTCTTTGACTACGCGGGAATGCAACGCTCATTAAAAATGTTGCGGTGGCCTCTCCCACCATACACAGCGTGCTCTACTTAATTTTATGCTTCATCCTACGTTCGCCTGTTAAAGCGGATCAAACAGGGCCAAATTACGCCTCAACGTCGTGTTGCACGCATGCAGGGAGTAAAGCTCATGCAAGTCAGAACATGTGACCATTTACTTTAACGGCATAATTTTTGTTCACCTGAGGTTGTATGTGGGCTCCCATGACTTTGATCCCGGGTGACCTTGAACTTTAAAGCGTTGTGTTCGACGATGATATCACTGCGAAAAACATATTAACACTCTTTTTTGTCAAGTTACGTCTACTAACACTCCGATATTTTAGCCTCCACGCCATAGTATTTGTGGCCCGTGTGTGAGCCTGACCTGAAATGGCCGTTATATTGTATGATCTTTCCGTTACCACCAGCACGTGCATTTGTTTCCGTTTACATTTGACCTGTGGTGACATGGAATTCGAAAGACCTTAGAAGAATTCACGGTACTTGGCAAAGTGGTGGTGTATCCACGCGACACATTGGAAACTCCTGTACAAGAATATCTGGTGCACGCATATTCAGAAATGGGCCACGGTGTGGCGATTTGAAACATTTTCGCCGAGCAGACATTTGAGAACGAGGTTATAGACAAATGGTAAGTGACCTATTTGGCCCCTGCCGGAATCTTACAGAATGTGTTTAGAAATGCTCAGGAACCATTTAGACAATATCTGCTTCGGAACCACTGGAGCTGCATTTCATACTGAAATTATTTTACGTGTTGCATAATGCACCAAGCAGTTCCGTCAATATTCACAAAAACCCGGAGGCAGTTTGCATTAACCTCCTGCCCGGACGAGAGTTGAGCCAATGAGATAACATAGATCTGTCCACGCCTGCTTGACAACGCGTTAATACTCGCTCAGCTAAGCCAGCGGTAGACGTGGATGTGCCACTCGACACCATGCGGCACCATCGCGTGACCACGCGGTATACGCCAGCCGCCGGCTCACGGCTGGGAGTGCAGCGCTCACATGCACGCGCTGCATGCGATTCACGTCTGGCAGCACGCGCCGGGACTGCTGTGCCAACAGCCAGCGGCATAGACCGCTTAACCGTTATAGGCGTGAGTGTTTGTCATAATTGTGGTGGTGTTCTACACCGCTTGTCTAAGGGGAAATGTTTGCGATGTTTGCTCTGAACGTTTTGAGAACATTGGCCTCCATGTTTCGTGAGGCGATGCGGGCTGTCTGGAAACATGGGACCCGACAGCTGTGGGCGAAAATAACTCTTACGCCCTCGGCTAGAGCACACAAAATGAAGCTAAGGTTGGTTGATATGACACCAGGATGACGCCTTGTGCGGCGTCAAACGAGCGCGGAGACAATAGATGTGCACCCCGTCAGTTCAGCAGGTGATGCCAAAAACTACGCAAATGAAGCCATACACCTTTGGGAATCGAAACCAATAACCTTGATCAATGCGTTGAAAAACTTGCCTTTATAATAATTTCAAGGTCGGAAGTTCACAGAAACGGCAATCGCAAGTCCCTTTACTCGCAAATTAACTTGCAATGATATTGCTTGAAGAATGGCTGGCTTTGAAGTTGGTGAGGCTTGGCAACTTTGGTTGACAACATCTGCGTATTTCTAATTATTGACGGTTTTCGCGATTATGACAAAGGATTGTGTGTAATGCAAATATCTTTAGTGAAAATTATTTGCATCGACCGAGTTAACCAGCTGTGTAAGGGCCGTCTGATTGCAGCAGCTATATTCGCCTGTATCGTGCAGTTGGTTTCATGCCTCCATATGCTACGCGTGCTGAAATCTGGCGCCGCTCCTTAAAAGCCCTTTTAAATGGCTGAAGCCATGGGATGCGGGCAAGAGAGCGAGAACGTTTGTTTATACGATTGGTCTTTTTCTTCTCAGTCAGAATGTGTTAGTTCTGTGTTGTCGCGACGTCGGATTGTCGAGATCTGGACACGGTTTCAACCCATTTCTTAAGCTCGTTTTACAAGGCGAAAATTTGCATTTGTATTATAAACGAATGGGGCAAGTAAAACTGTTGTGACATTGTGTTGTTCGAGGATAAGGTGGCTGATCGAATAGCGTGCGGGAAAACGCTCGACAGTTTATGGGGAGCGGGCCGCCAAAGTTGAAACCATGCGCATTGTTCACGTGAGGCGTGCCCGGCCTGAGGCCGCGCTCGTAATAATCATGATATGTAGATGAGGCCGGGGTGCGGTTTAATCTAATTGTTGATGCTCTTAATGCGCCACCAACACAATTAACTGCTGTTTTTGTGGCCTGACCGTCGAGATATGCCCTCTGTTTATAACCAGACTTTTCCATTTCTTGCTAAACCCAAACACCAGCGTTAGCATAAAGGGTTAAAATGTCAATCGATTTCTTTTATAAAACGCAGCAAACGCATTTGCTAATCTCAGGAGATTTAAGATTCATTCTTCTAGAAGAACGGAGTCAACCAAGACGGTCGACTTCAGTACGGAGGACGCGCAAGGCACCGAGGTAGCCTGTTGCCCTCAGCCCCACCTTAAACGCAGCCGCGTTCCTTGGCTAAGCAGCGGCCTTGTCTGAATCCAACTAGCCAGACATCCTCGGGCAACTGACCGTGACCCATGTGCCCCAATCCAGGCGTGTCGTCCGTGCCCAACTGACCGCGAGGGGCTACTCAACTGGCCATGACCCAGTTGCTTAGCCTGCGTGCCTCGTCGGCATTGAGCCGGCCGGGCGGCTCCATCTCATCTGATCAGGACGCGGCCTGCAGGTCCGGCCGGTCCGTTTGGCTCTGGAACGGCTCCGATCGGGAGCTGCCGGCGCGTGGCTCGCGCCGCGGCCAAGCCGATTGGCCCAATCCGATCGGACGGCCCTGGCCAATCGGAAGCGCGTTCGTTGTCCGGAGCGGTATCGATCGTTCGCCCCTCACGACTCTGCCGCTTGTGTCGTTCGCACTGCATCGGTGCCTGCTCTGGCGTCTGTGGTCCTCCCCAGCGTGCGTCTGGAGCTCACCGTGGTGTTCGTGGTCCTCCCCCGGCGTGCATCTGGAGTTTGCCGTGGTGTTCGTGGTCCTCCCCAGCGTGCGTCTGGAGCTCACCGTGGTGTTCGTGGTCCTCCCCAGCGTGCGTCTGGAGCTCACCGTGGCGTTCGTGGTCCTCCCCCAGCGTGCGTCTGGATTATGCCGTGGTGTTCGTGGTCCTCATAGTTAAACATAATGTTACCGTGACGCATGCCATCGTCGGCGCCCGTGTTCCTCCCCTGGTGTCTTGTGCCCTGGAGCTCCTCGCGCCAGGATGATCAGTGTCGCCGCACGTCCCCACCCATCTGACCATGACGTGAACGCTAATGGCGTTGGAGAGTCAATATTAGCGCAAGGCATCCCCTCCGTTCTGCAGCGCTGCATACGCGTTCTCTGTTGTGTTATCCTCCCTCTACCTAGCTCCCCCTCTCTCTCTCTCTCCGTCTCTCTCTCCGTCTCTCTCTCCGTCTCTCTCTCCGTCTCTCTCTCTCCGTCTCTCTCTCTCCGTCTCTCTCTCTCCGTC